GCGGGGTGATCTACGATGAAGAATGGATACTGCGCGAAGGATGATACAAAGTCCGGCCCGAGAATTCCCAGTCGATGATGGCTGAAATACAAGGATGAGAGGATTTGGGATCAGTGATCATGATGTTTTGTGAGTGAAAGTCTCCGGGAGCGAGGGGACACCCATGGACATCGATGGAAGTATCGAATAATGCAGGGACGAGAGAACGCATAAACCATGCCATAGCATAGTCATATGGCTTCAAGTCGGAACCAAAAAGCGATTCATCTATGTCATGAAGGTTAGCGTTGGCATAAGCTAGCCAATAATCGGCAGCATGAGAGTAGGATGTGGTCTGAAGACAGTGTCGGGTTCCGATGTCATCTGGGTCTTCAAGTAATGTGCTGGAATGGATGCCCAAGCTACCATCGGCATCATTGAACAAGGCACCTTTTTTATCAAAGCGATGCGACCATAGCTCGAGCAGAATGTCGATGACCTGTTGGAGAACTATGTGACGTCTTACATCATCCATGTCCTCCCATACCGATGCGAGTGGTATTCCATCGACCTTGGACATAAGGATATAAGGCGAACGTACGTTTTCTTCCGTATGAGCGCTATAATGAAGCATATGTGGAACTGGGATGGTGGTGCGAGTTTCGACATACTTCATTGTCACCACTTCACTTTCAATTCGTTTCGAAATCGCAGAATCATGCTCCTCACTCATAGCTTCCTCGGATCGAAGAGGTACGCGAGCGACGATAACAGTGTTTTGAGCGTCGTGAAGATGGAGGAAACGGACGAGATTGTATCCTCCCGAAAGCTGGTCTCCCCAATGGCAGCTGGCTTCAGGAAGTTGAGCAAGTGCACATGCCAGGGAAGAGAGTTTGTCCCAGTTAATCATGTCGAGTGTAGCCTTGATGCATGGGTCTCCTGAAGAAGAAGAAGACGTGTTAGAAACTGGGGGAGACGCCATGTTCGGAGGTAGCTAATACTAGCTCGCCCCTCGAGGCTCCCAGTTAGTTTTCGTTTCTGTGCGATATGAAGAACTAGAAGCGACTTTTTCAACGGCCGGAATATAAGAAGAGGGCTGAATGGAGAGAAGATTCAGAATACTTAGACCCCTTTCGGTTACTTATGTACTTTGCTAGGCGCCGGTGTGCCGCATTCGTGACTCAATTCTTTTTCGAACCACAACTCGATCATCATCTTAGTCTCTCAGACAATTCCACCTCGACTTTCCAATCGACAATCTCCCAGGAATACGAACGATGGATTATAGTTGAACCAAAGGCTACTACAGATCCGACAAACGTTTCTTTTTGTTGAAAAACTGGTGATGTGATAGCGAGCTGCATTATACATCTGCTGGTCTGGGTTTACTGGAGTTGGATACCCAAAGACGATGCCTACGGTGCGTGCAGCGTATCTCCTTCATTCAGTATGATTGACTCCAATCGCAGATGACATTGAAGCTAATAACCTCCAAGCTGATCCAGCCATGAAGAATAAATTCAACCTTTTCGTTGAAGCGGCTGTTGGACCCAAAGTCGAAGACCGCTGGGCAGCACTTGATATGATCGCGCGGCGTTATGCTCGTCAAATTGATTAAAAAAGCGGCTAAATGTATCAACGCTGTGAGAATCGAATTCACCGACAAGCACCTTTCCAGTGAGTACCCAGTACCTCACCAGTCATTTTCGCCTAAGTATTTCCACAGGATCTAACCTACAACCTCCACAAGAAACATGGCGACCCGTAAACCCTGGACTCGAAGCCACCGCCATCACACTCGAAGGGCACATCGTCCCTGGTACCTCGGTAGGCGCAACTCTCGAAATCGTCAGATCCGCATCCAAAATCATCATCGAAGTCAACACACGCTTACCAAGGCTTACACGACATCAACCAATCCTTCCTCCCGCTCCACCGCCAGCCCTACCTCATCACCCACCCTCGGACCGGATTGGGTCGACGGCTATCCTCGTCGACTCAGATTGCAGCTATCCTGGAGAGTACCAAACCTGATAATAACTTTAACATGGCTTTGGCACACTGGGAAATATACAAAAATCGCCTCCTGCACCGCTCTCAACAGGTTGTCAATTCACCAGAGATTATTTGGAGACTGGGTGTCATTGCATTGTGAGTCGCGTCGAAGTTCCTCCCAAGGATATATCCTAATCCTGTCGTCTCTTCTAGTGCGGTCACGCAAACCCTAAGATCCCGCATGCTCAACGGTTTCGGAGCTCAGCAAAATCTTTGAGAAATGCAAAAATTTCCATCATGCATACGCCCTCGACGAGACCTAGTAAGAATGATCCTACGGGAATCAGCTGTATCGTGCCATTTGCGAGTCATTGATCAGACTAGTGTACCACATACGGTTTCTACTCTATCTTACTTGCTCATCGTTTTCCCTCGTTCCCTCGTAGAACACGGCCTCGACGTAATACTCACCGAACAAGGACTTGCGGACCTCCGTGGTCTCTCTCCCTGCGAGCGCGCAAAAGCTAATCATTGAAAAGTGTGCGCATCCGAATTATAGAGAGTTGTTGAACAAGTACTATGATCGTGCGCTGCATGAGTGTATGGGAAGAGGGGCGGGGCATGAGCCGCATATGCTTAGGGTGAGTTCTACACTTCAGGTATTCGACGGTCTTTTGTTTTGGTGACTGACTGACTCTCCCTATAGAACGCATTGAGGTTGCATACAAACTTTATGGAGCATGGGCATATGAAGGTTAAGAGCTGTGATTAAGCAGTTGGAGGAGTAGAAATACTCGAAATTTTACCACCTAATTACGTTTTGCTGGCTGAACGACGAGACACGGATAGTCACATGTCATGTGATAGCAATGTCACTCTAACTTTGGGCGGACAGACTTCCAACTTCACGACCTCCTTTTCAACCAATTCGAAAACAAAGCTGGAATACGACGAATCCGTATGATTGGATGCGGTGATCTCGGTACTACGGTTGGATCATGATGGAATCGATAGTAGCTAAGAATGGCCAATGTAAACTTTCCGATCTTACATCCCATCTTCCGCTTGTTGATGTTCATTGCTTTGCAAGGACCTAAAGGACGCGCGAACTGATATTCCATCGCATCTCTCTCTCTCTCTCTCTCTCTCTCTCTCTCTCTCTCTTCTCACCGTTACTGTTGCCCATCGGCATTCCTTTCCTTAGTTTTCTCGATAGCTTCGAGCCTTCGCATTGGAATTATAACCATCACGATACATCTGTTTTTGTACGTGATATTAGAACTATTAAATTTCTGGTCTTTAGCTGATATTGCCAGTAATTTAGTGCGTTCTCTATCCAAGCTGCGATGGCGACGAATAATGAATTCGCATTCGTGCCTGTCACTGGAACGCTCACTCCAGGTCAGGTTGTAACAGGAGTAATCAATCTTGGCAACCCTTCTTTTACTCCTTCTCCTTTCGCATTGGTGTTTTCCGCCTCGGACTCTGGTCTCTTGCCACCATAACACTCCCGCCTTTCCCTTCCCCAACGAATACACAATCCGAATTTTTCTCTTTTATTGTTCCAACATTGACGTGAGCAGGGTAAACATTCGAGCCTCAAATGCGCTTACAATTGCCTTGTTTTGCCAGCGCAACAAGTAATCTTCTAGTGCTAGTTGAGTACATAGGGTATGTCCGGCGATTGTATACTATTGTGAAGTCGTTTTTTTACGAATCTCCTAGCATTCCGAACGGCGCATTTGCTATCGGAACTGTTGATATATACAACGGCTACAGGGGCAAGCGCTAACAGGTGAATCTACTTGCTAGAATAATCTGTTGAAAAAAATACTCATGCATCGAGATAAGCTCAACAACATCAACCCCTAGTACAGGTACTTCAATTTCATCATCGACAACAACTGGTACTTCTTCGTGAGTGCAATCCTGGACAATGAAGCACTAGATACTCACCTGATATTTGAAAGTACTGCCAACGGAACTTCCACGTAAGTGCGATCTCAGAGAACAATCCTGTAAATATCTCATTACTCGTGAGCAGTGGTGCTTCTGGTACTACTAGTACTATCCCCCTGCAGTGACATCAAGTTCATCCACAGCTACCCCGAAGTCCTCCAGCACCAAAACTGACATGACCGTCGGTATTGCCATTGGCGTTGTGGCATTTGTTGCTATATTCGGGACGCTGTTGCTTGTCTATATGCGAAGGCGGCGCCGTAGCTTTGCATTTAATAACATAGCAGTAGTCTCGCCCTTCCCAGAGGTTAGATCTCCCGGGGAAGAGCCTCCGTCCATAGAGCAGAGACAAACGACACTCCCTGCCATTTTGAATGAAGACATCCCGCCACGCAAAGGTCACAGGCGTCGAATTCCACGACCTGTTCCACCTACAAGAGAGCCAAAACGGGCACCCCCGGATCCTGTCCGCATCGAAGCTGTGACCGGAAACCATCGCGAGGAATCTATGGAAGTAATTCCAGAGCCTACGTCTGATGTGCGATTCAATCGGCGAACAATCCTATAGCTTACCGTCACCAGGATAGCGGATGGAGAGATTTAGTTCGCAACGAAACAGCTGATGGTCTGAGGGAGATTATTGAGCTTCCCCCAGACTATTCGGAGGTGTAGTATTATTTATGCTACCACTTGAGGTTGCAATACTGCCATGTGGAAGCTGTATTATTGGATGCGTGCTACGGTTAAATGTATAAAGAATAAATTCTGTTAACAAAGTGTTAACTTCCTGAACCAACATCCAATGAGGTTGCATTCTAGTACCAGTAGACATCTGCATCCACAGTCCATGGCGACAGTCCAGCATGTATTTTACATTCTAGAACTGGCAAGCAAATACTTTATGCGGTATGTAAAGCAGCATCCTGCAGCCACTCGGTTGACTAGACGCTAGGAAGGGGCCGAATCAAACTTAAACCTAAAATACAGGAGTAGACAAAGGCTCCGCCGTATACTTTATTTATTACATTCCGGCAAAAAACACTGATCTTCGAAATGGCTGCTGATCATAGCAGCAACTTGTTTCGATCAAGTGACCTCGGGGTTCTATGACTACTACTCTATATATGGGCCCCGCGCGCTACCACTGCGCCACTCGGACGGTGCTGCCCGGTTGGCTAGGGCTAGTGTCGTTGAGTCCGATTGATGTTACGCTAGGCTTTCACAAATATACTCCTAGCTTCGCTGTCGGCATATCTCTAAGTCACTACTGCCTCCTCCGCTTCCTTTCACGATAGATCCTCCGGCTGTATCGCCAGCACCTGAGTACTTTCAGCTTGTCGTGCTCTTGTTGGTGCTCTTGTTGGTACCCCCGTCTGATGAGGTTGTTAGTCGCCCTCGTTAGTGTTGGTAAATCGAAGACTAGGCTGGGAATGTCGGTGTCAGTATACTGTCGACACCCTTGTGATGAAAACAAAGATAAGCGCATGGTCCCGCGATAGAGAACTACGGTCCCGAGAAAATAACTGGGAACATTTACTTTGAATAGTATACATACTGTGTAGAATATTACAGGATTCTCGGCTTCTTGCTAGCTTCCTTCCTAAAAGGACTCTCGAAAGCGAAATTTTAACTAGACCAAAGAAGATCAATGTAAGCTATCGCAAAAAAAAAAAACAACTTCAAATAACATCATATCGGCTGGAAGCCGCTGGGCGGCAGTTCCCAGCCAATACACGTTTTGCTAGGGATACTCTTGAGCTGCTGGCTGAAAATATTATTCACTATCGAACATATCGAACATCTCGCTATCGGAGAGAAGCCTCAATGTCTCATGCAATGCAGGGACCTGCCAATAGATGAGTCGTATGGAGGTGTGCCTCGTAATCTGTTACGAAGCGAGCAACCTTTGTTTGATTATCTTACGATTGGTGGCATGACTCGGAATTGAAAGTGTATGAGATGCATCATGCTCAGTCCATATTATCACCGCTTTACCTCGCTCGTTTGGTAGAGTACTGACCTCCGTACCGTACGAGCTCTTACTCGGTGATAAGCTGAGATGAGATCGAACGAAACTTGCTCGCTGGACAGCCTTCGTGTTTTCAACAGGTGACCATTGGATTCCTTATACTATCACAGGTGCAAAATTTCTAGACTCCGAAAGTTCTGGGATATCAGGTACGACCATATGCTAAATGACGATGCTATCCATGGCTGCTGGATGTATCCGTAGGTTTAACAATACAGGGTTCATGCAAACTAATTCTTTTCGCGCTCTGGCACTCCAAAGTGGCTCTCAGCGACTCCTCCTCTTTCCGATGAATAATCGATCAACTTACTCCAATGTATGTTGTTGGGGTAATTATCGGTCTTACGGTGAATCTCGGGGTCTTATCTGAGTCTCCATAGTCGTGTGTAGGCCATCTTTCGAGCACATGAATCCTGCTTCTTTACTTCCTTGTTTTGCACTCTAATTTAAAGGACCTGTATTCATTTGCAAGTCATGCACCTGGATAAGATCTAAAAAAGCTCCATGAGTCTGTTATTTCCTCTTAGGAGGGCTTATCAGCCGCAAAGTGTTCTAGTCCTGGTTACATGAAAGTACCTGCGCTTCGCTGCGAGGATGGGGCAGCCGGCCGTAAAAGGGGAGGTGTAAACGAAATGCTAAATATGTTCCGACAATCTCACATGCTCTTCTTTCAATGAACGACTTACTTCTTAGGTTCAATGAATGCCAAGCAACTAGAGACGGGATCTGTATCTTGTATTCAATGGACGAGGTGCCAAGCAGCTAGAGACCGAAAGTGGAGAGGAATTGAATGTCGACTGAGTATAAAGCTGGGTAGAATCGTCTCTGGCTCTCCAGCAACTAGCTCTACACCCTCTGCACACAATGTTCTCTGCTGCTTTCCTCGTCCAGGCTCTCCTCGCTTCTGCTGTCTTTGCCGTCCCCACGAGCAAAGAGCGTTTCGCCTCCCGCAGAGCCCGCCGTTCCAACGGTGCGACCCGCCAGAGCAAGCCAGTGAACCTCATCTCCAGCCAGAGCACCTCCAACGTCACCCATGAGCAGTTCAGTGAGAACTGGGCTGGTGCTGTCTTGGTTGCTAGCACGGTAAGTAGCCGCTGCAGCTTTCTTTGCGAATATCAACTAACTAGAAACGAACAGGCTACCTACAAGGCCGTTACTGGTACCTTCACCGTCCCTACCCCCAAGTCTACTGGCGGAAGCAGCGAGCAATGCGCTAGCGCTTGGGTTGGTATCGACGGTGACACTTGTGAAACTGCTATCCTGCAGACTGGTGTCGACTTCTGTGTCGAAGGAACCGAAGTTTCTTTCGACGGTGAGCAAGCAATACTTGCTGAAACCTAGCCCGAAACTGAAATTTTGTCTTTTAGGCTGGTATGAGTTCTTCCCGTAAATCTCCTCTGCTCTTGATTACCCAGAGACATTCACTCATGTTCAATTTTATAGAGCTGATGCTGATGACTTCTCGATCTCCTTCTCCGCTGGTGATTCTGTTACTCTTACCGCCACCGTTTCCAGCACGACTTCTGGCACTTTGAAGATTGTCAACAACAGCAAGGGCACCTCCGTCTCCAAAACCGTCTCTTCCTCCGCCAAGTTGTGCGAGACCAATGCCGAATGGATTGTGGAAGACTTTGAAGAGTGTGAGGGCAATGACTGCTCGCTTGTTCCTTTCGCCAACTTTGGAACTGTCGCGTTCACCGGAGCTGAAGCGACAACCTCCTCTGGCAGTGTCACAGCTGCTGGTGCTACGATTATTGATATCGAGCAGAGCAAGGTTTTGACCTCGTCTTCCGTCTCGGGAAGCACTGTCACGGTCAAATATACCGCATAGAGAAAATGTTTTGCAGGGGACTAGGGCCTTCGGTACCTACTAAATGGAATTGCTGTATGTCAAGGGGGGACCAAAGTTTAATGGCCTCAAAGAGTGAACCGACCGACCCTGTGACGTGGCAGCTGCCTTATTCGGGTGTCAAAGCTGTAGGTAATGATGTAAGTGTGACATCTGATGTCACCATATGTCCCCATATAGGTACCGGGTACCGGTAACCTTCATTCCCATACACAACCCATACACCACTGCAGAAACTGTGTGAAAAAAAATTCAAGCCTTCAGAAGCCTAGTATTTCGACCAAACCTCACTGACAAAAGGTTGGGTAAATTTTTTTAGTGGTCTCAGAGGGTGAACCGACTGACCACTGGAGTGTAATCCTGGCTCCCCTTGTTGTATGTTTGGAAATGCAGTAGAATATGATTTCTTGTACATGCGCTCAACCAAAATTGGTTTTACTAATAGGTTGACATGAGTCGGTACTTAATCTAAATTCAGCACCGCAACATGTGGAAGGCGGTGAGGATTCTATTAGAAAGCATGTAAGTGAGAATAATTCAGCCATAAATTCTTACTAGGTAGAATGATTTTTGGTGTTAGCGTTGTAACGCTTTGACCAAGAGCGCGGAATCCAGTGTGTACTTTGCTTTACTAAGGACAAAGTTTATTTCGCTGTTAGTCTCAACTCGACTGAACTTGTACTTAGTCGAAGAGGGTATTGGCAGGTAGGTAATGGTTACCGTCCATATGGGATTATCCCCGGTATAGTCTGTGGCCGAAAGTACAATCTCCGAGAGAAGTTCAGAAACGTAATTCCAAGGACCAAGTCAGTACCGCACTGCTAGTAGATAGGATAGTCCTACCTGAGCCAGTGCCTAAAGCTCCAGTATGAATGGCAATGACATTTTCAGCGGGGACGGTGACGGTGAAGGATTTGCCAGATACGGTGATCCTGCGGAAAATGTATCGAATTTAATAGCATATTATAATCAAAGGGGACGTACCCTGTCCCGGTGCAGACACCAGAGGAGCTGGCCCGGGTTCCATTGATGATATCGTAATAGCTACTGTCCGGCAATGCATCGTTGTTAATCGCGACGAAGCCGAGAGCACCTAAATGGTGTCAATACTTGTTAAGGATAGCTGTTTGGATATCTATTCCCTCGTCCGAATGCAATTTGGTCGGATTGAGGGGAGACCCAATTGGTTGATGCTGCCGAGCCAACATGGTTCCTAAACCCGACCATAACAGGTACCCAAAGATGTTGGCAGAGCCAACCATCACTTCTTCCTGCTGCGGTACATACGCCAGCACCTACAAATCCGCTTTTAGCTGTTTTTCAGTATGGCCATACATTGAATATTTTGCCGCCACTCGGAGCTCCTTGATCAAAATCGGAAAATTCGTAACTAAACACCTTGGCCTCCCAGTACCTCCCAGAGTGACAGGCTACAGCGGGTGGGGTTGGGTCAGCTGCCGGACGATGCGGGAGAGGGAGGAGCGGGAGAGGGAAGATTTGAGAGTGAGTAGGCTGTAGGCTGTTAGACCACGATGGATGCCGCGTGTCTTTGGTGTAGCGGGCACATTTGAGTTGCTGCTGCTTTGATCATGACGGAAGCGGAAATGGAGGCGGATCGGAGTTGAAATGCGTTGGATCAGCTTCTATACTATACATCCATCGGATCGACAGTGAGCGATTGATAATCGATTGAATGGAGTAATCAAATGAATGAACTTACTGACGTTGGTCTTACTGACGTTGGTGTCTCCGGGCTCGACGATCCCACCTCTTCATCCCCATCCCATGCTCTGACTTGTTACTTTGCCACTTTTCCGTATCTTCTTCCGACTCCGGCTCTGCTCGTGAGCGCCCCTTTCTTCTCCATCTTCTTCGCCATTGTCCTCCGCAGGTCGTTTACGTTCCGGATATAGTTCTGGATGGGTCTCGTCGTTCTGAGGCCGAGTCCGGGGCCAGAATTCAGATGCGATTCGTGGAATCCCAGGGATTCACATTGGTATTGGTGCTCATGCTCGTGCTATAAGTTTAGGAAGGATAGCTACAAAAGACATGATCAATATATTATCACCGCTTTACCTCGCTCGTTCGGTGGAGTGTCTACCCCCGCACCATACGAGTTCTTAGTGGGGACTTTTCGGCGATAGGCTGAGATGAGATCGAAAAGGTGACGAAACTTGCTCGCTGGACAGTTCGTTCAATGTCTTCAGGTGCCGGAAACTGGCACCTCATGGCCACGCTTATACTATCACAAGTACAAAACATCTCGGCTCCGGGTCTGAAA